TATATATTTCACAAATACCATATATATAAAATATATAAAAAATGTCATGTGGGTACTTAAACGAAAGGTCTCCATGAGTATAACATCGAAAAGAGTTTTTTTTTAACAAAAAAATTAATAGGAGTAATTTTCAGTAGTGACCTTCATAATACAGTGGAATGATTAAAAACATATTGAATTACTGTGCATAACTAAAATTTCTTAAAATAATAATTAAGTACAATAACTTTCATTTTGTCGAACACTTAAAAGATGTTTAATTATTTAAGTAGATAATTATGCAGTAATTGAAATAATTTTTTTTTTATTCCACAAAACTAGCCGAATATTTAGTTGTAAAAATAAATAAATTTTGGCTTCTCTAATTAAAATTTAGCATAATTAATTTTTAAATCGTAGTAAGAAAATGAAACAGCTACGGATTAAATTTAATTACAATTAATTTCTAAGCTAATATGAAGAAAAATATATATATATATTTGTGAAATAATCGCGTATTTACATTCTCATAAATATATATTATATAATATAGAACAAGAGTCAACAATTTTTTAAACTAGAGCACAATATTATTACTTTTTTTCTCTTTGTTTTTTTTTACAGTCTATATAGTCTATAGGAGAAAAATATTACAACATAAAACATATTGATTATATACACCTATTGTATTCGTATCGAGAAAAGTTATATCAATAATTCTTTCATTAAGCTTTCAAACAATGGCGTAAGCATGATACTTTGCACTTCCGCCAGATTTATTATCTTTTTTTTTTTGTTTTGATATTTTTAAGCTCGAGTAGGAAAAATATATCAATCATAAAAATCATTTAATTAAAGAGTGATTATGATTCAATTTTATGGTTATAGTTACTGATATTTTTTTTATTGAAATATTTTTTTTGCTGATAAATTCAAGTTGATTTTTTTTGTGATATTTTAAATCATAAAAATATGTGTCTTGAACACCATCTACGCTAGATTGGATGGCAGTGATAATAGACTGATACTAAAAAAAAAAAAAGTGATCTCAATTTACTAGTACAGATGCCGTAAATGTGTCTAAAATTTATTAACAATTTTTATTATTTTTTTTTATTGCAAAATTGAGTGCAATTTATAATAAAAAATTCTTTAATTGTAGTTTATATAATAAAAAAAATTTTTAAATGTCTTGTAATTTAAGTATCATCTAGAATTTAAGTTAGCTTACTTAGAAATTTTTTAATAAAATTATTATTTAAAAAAATTACATAAAAAAATTTCACTTTTGAAAATTGAAAAAAAATTTTAGTGGAAATTTTTTAAAGAATTTTTTTTTAATTTACAATTGTCAGCTAACTTCAGTATCATAGAATTTTCATAATCTAAAAGTATATATCTAAAGTATAATCTATATGAAGAAAATGAGCAAAATTTTGTGTCCAAGATGGTCATTTGGTAAAATTGGTTTTTTTTAGTGAAATTTAGTGTCATTGCAAAGGTCTAGAAACATAATTAAGAAATGACCTTGTATCTTGTGAACTAGACATTTTTAAAGATATAAGCTCATTCTGACATTTCACTCATCGAGACCTTTCATTTGAGTACCCACATGACATTTTCGAAAATGCATGTGGGTATTCAAATGAAAACTCTTGATGAGTGTAACATCGGGATGAGCTTATATCTTTAAAAATGTCAATAACTAAGAAATGACATTCTATCTTCTCAACTAATGACATTTTTAAAGATATAAGCTCATTTTAACATTACACACATCGAGACCTTTCATTCGAGTACCCACAACAATTTTTCACATATTTATATATATTATATATATGTATATATGAAAATATAAAAATATATCAAAAATGCATGTGTGTATTCAAATGAAAGGTCTCAATGAGTGTAACATCAAGATGGGCTTATATCTTAAAAAATGTCAATAATTAAGAAATTACCTTGTATCTTGTAAAATATCAACATTTTTAAAGATATAAGCTCATTTCGACATTACACTTATCGAGAGCTTTTATTTGAGTACCCACATCAATTTTTCATATATTTCATATATTTACATATTTCACAAATATCATATATATATAAAAAATGTCATGTGGGTACTCAAATAAAAGCTCTCGATGAGTGTAACATCAAAATGAGCTTATATCTTTAAAAATGCCATTAGTTAAGAAAGTACAGTGCTATTTAACAAAAGTCACTATTAAATAAATCAAAATGTTATTTATTTATAGTTCACGAAGTGACTTGTGAACTGTGTTGCTAGTATTACCTTAATTTCAGTACTTTAATAATTAATTTTTCTTCTGGTCTCAAAAAATAGACTTTTTAAAAACCATTTTTCAATAAATCAAAAAATAAGAAAATTTTTTAGAGAGTAAATTAATAAAGGTCTCTTCATTGATCTAACAAACTTCAGATCAATGATTAACCAATCAGCGAAGCTGATTGGTTAAAGTTAACCAAAAATTTTCTAACCTAAAGGACACTTTTACGGCATCTGTACTTAAATATAATAATAATATACACATTAATAAAAATAAACTACATATTAATTTAATTAATAAATATTAGGCACCAGGGATGCATTGATTAAACTTAAAAAACCTAAATTACAGACTTTAAATAGATTATTGCCATCATAAACTTCTTCTTTATCATTATCATCATCATCATCATCATCATTAACAACACCTATAATAGTCAACAACCAACAACACATTAATTACGTAAAACATATTTTATTGTTCCCGTCAGGGCCTCAGAGATCCTAACTAAAAAAAAATGAACAGAGACTAAACCGAGCTGACTTGGACAGAAGAATTAAGGTCTGGGTCAAGAGCTCTCATGCTAGCCACCGCACTTTCTAGCTCCAGGTCAGCAGTATCATTCAATCCCGCTTCGGTGAAGCTCGAGTTCCCGTCGCTGATTATCGAGTCGTTTTTCTTCTTGACTCCACCATTAGCATCTTCATCAATCCGGCTCTTGGATTCTTTTATCTGTCCTGATTTCTTCTCTTTTTCTACCATTCCATTCTTCGCTCTGCTGTCCTTTTCCCGGGGCTTTTTGGTCAAACTAAAGTTTGTAATCTTGGAGCTCTTATCCTTACCCTGGCGGAGCGAACCAATGCGACTTGGTTCCGTTGAATCTTGCTCTTCTGATATCGACACTAAGTTTTTGTCAGCTGTCCCGTCTTCTTTCGCCACGATTGGGATATCATCTATAAATAAATATTTTATTATTAATATTAAAATTATTACTAATTTTTTTTTTTTTTATTTTTGAGAGGACGAGTAATTAAAAAAATTGAAGTAGCTATACCCTTATATATATTTAAATATTCTTGGACACCAGAGTAAAAAAAATTTTATAATTAAATGTATACTAACAACTATGTGAACTATAAATGAATGAAATTTTGCTTTATTAAAAAATGACTTTTGTTAAATTGAACTGTACTTTCTTAAATATTGACATTTTTAAAGATATAAGCTCATCCTGATGTTAGACTCATCGAGAGCTTTCATTTGAGTACCCACATCAATTTTTCATATATTTATATATTTCATAAATACCATATATATAAAATATATAAAAAATGCCATGTGGGTACTTAAATGAAAGGTCTCGATGAGTGTAACATCGAAATGAGTTTATAACTTAAAAAATGCCAATAATTAAAAAATGACACTGTATTTTGTTAGCTAATGACATTTTTAAAAATATAAGCGCATCCCGATGTTACACTCATCGCGACCTTTCATTTGAATACCCACATCAATTTTTCATATATTTTATATATTTATATATTTTACAAATACCATATATATATATAAAATATATATAAATGCCATGTGGGTACTTAAATAAAAGGTCTTGATGAATGTAACATCAGAATGAGCTTATATCTCAAAAAATGTCCATAATTAAAAAATGACATTGTATCTAGTCAACTATTGACATTTTTAAAGATATAAGCTCATTTTGACATTACACTCACCGAGACCTTTCATTTGAGCACCCACATCAATTTTTCATATATTTTATATATTTCACAAATATCATATATATAAAATATATATAAAACGCCATGTGGGTACTCAAATAAAAGGTCTCGATGAGTATAACATTGAAATGAGCTTATACCTTAAAAAATGTCAATAATTAAGAAATGACCTTGTATCCTCTCAACTAGTAACATTTATAAAAGTATAAGCTCATCCCGATGTTACACTCATCAAGACCTTTCATTTGAATACCTACACCACTTTTTCATATATTTTATATATTTATATATATTATATATATGTATATATAAAAAATATATCAAAAATGCATGTGGGTACTCAAATGAAAGCTCTTGATCAGTGTAACATCATGATGAGCTTATATCTTAAAAAACTTCAATATTTAAAAAAGTACTGTGCAATTTTCCAAAATTCATTATTTAATTAAGCAAAAGTTCATTAGTCCTTGCAGTCACGTAGTGACTGCAAAATTGCCAGTATAAAATTATATAAAATCTTTTTTAATCAGGCGATTGCATGATAGTCTTAATTTCAGACTTAATGAACCTGAAAAACTCAATAGCGTGCCAATAATTACCGTGTAATTAAACTAGCATGCACGATTAATATCCATCAATATAAATATTAAAAAAAATACAAAACAGAAGTGCTCCAAAAAAAATTACTCCCAGCTGTGAATAAAATTAACGTGTAAGCGTTGATTACAAATTTGTTGTAATGGCGTGCTAATTTATAGCGAGAGTTTAAATGATGAACCCTCGGAAATGACAACAACTGGTACCGTGAGTGACTTGATAGTGCGCCAGCAGTGATATTGCCTGGCTTGCCTCGTTCAATGGCCCTGAGTCCATTGATATAGAGTCCCTCCGCGGAAGCAACAATCGCTTCGCCAAGAGCCTGCTCCTCCAGCACGCGATATAGCCGCGCTCCAGCACTGAGACGGCTCTCGTTGCCTGGAGAGTCACTGCGCTCTCTGCGAGGTCTGCGGATCACGTCGTCCTGGGACACGACCTTGCGATCCCGAGATTTCTTCGGAGAAGTGCGGCTCGGCGATCCGCTCGCCTGGCTAGCCAGGCTCTCTCGCCTGGAGTTGTCCACTGAAGAGCCTCCGCTGCGGACCTGCAGCACCTCGTCCTCGTCCAGCGACTGGGGCATGTGCTTTCTCAGCCAGGCTCGACGCTTCCCGGAACTCGGGGATGGTCGCGGTAATTTTTCTTTCTCGTCTATGCTCTTTACTTCGTCTTCGAATAAGTTTACGTCCAGGTCGTCTAATTTTTCCGGTCATTTTATATTTTTTTTTACTTTTTTAGTTTCAAGTTTTTTTTTTAAGTAATTTAATTATTTAAATTAAATTTTTTTTTAATAATTTAAAAATAAATCTTAAAATTAGGGTTCAATCTAGAGCTAAATCTAAATCTAAAGTGCTGGTTATATATTAGCGGTATAATTACCAGGTGCAAATTAATTCAAGAGAAAATATTTGCGGTAGGCAATTTTTAATTATAAAAATTTTATTTTAATAATTTCAATTAATAATTGGAGGAATTATAAGCACTCAGGAAATTTTTTTCAATAAATTTTTCTTTATAAAAAATTATTTTATGTAAAAGCCCCAATTATTGACATTAGAGACAAAGTTAGGATTTGATTTTTTTTTATATCAATATTGTTGAATTTTGTTTCTGGTAATGTCTCAAGTAATGTTTTTATTAATCTTCAATTGGTCGTGCTATATAAATATGTACATTTTTTTCAAGAAATATTTATGTACTAACTTAATTTTTTTTTTTTAATTATTGAGTTTTTTTGTTTAAAAAAAAGTTGGAATATTATTTTTTATTAAATTCTATTTTTAATATAAAATATAAAATTAAAAAAAAAATGTAAAATGTAAACGTCAAAATTTACAAATTTTTAAATCACAAAATTTTTTTTTTCTTTAATTTTTCATAATTAAAACAAAATTTCACTATAAATTTATTATTAAAAAATTTAAATGAAAAATTCAACAGAATTATATTTTTTACCTTGAAATTAATTTAACTAAGGTAAAAACCCTAATTATTGACACTATTAAAAACAAAGTTATGATTTGATTTTTTTTAAGCAATCAAATATCAATATCGTTGAATTTTGTTTGTGGTAATGTCTCAAGTAATGTTTTTACTAATCAATTTTTTTTTTTAAAGCTTACTTATATAAATAAATAAATTTTTTTTAGTTGCTCTACCGCAGATATTTTATCTTAAAAAATAATTTCTAGAATAATAAAAAATAATAAATAAAATTACCTGGTAATTTTTTCGTACGGAAAGATGCATTAGTTATCATCGACTTGGATATCGTGGGAGTTGTCGTGGCTGGAGATAAAGCAACACTTATTCCCAGTGAAGCATCACCCAATAATCCAGAAGGTCCAGAACTGCTGGAGTTGCGTATTGCGTTTGTCACGAGCATCACATCAGCATAGCCATCATAGCACACACGGTTATGAATATCATCTACGGCTTGACATCCGACGTACCAGCAGTCGTTGTACATCGCGAAGTAAATTCCGTGGAGGAACTCTAGAAGAAATTGATTTGTGACAGGAATACGGGGTAACAGTCTGGGAACGAAACTGGATTCGTTGTACGAAGCACGTTGATGGTGACCTGGCTTCGGGAATCCTTGAGTTACGAGTCTATAATTAAAATAATATATTGTGAGGAATGAAATTAAAGCTCTTAATGAGTGTAACATCAGGATGAGCTTACATCTTAAAAAATGTCGATAATTAAGAAATGACATTGTATCTTATTAACTAATGATATTTTTAAAGATATAAACTCACCTTGTCATTACACTAATTAAGACCTTTTATTTGAGTACCCACATCAATTTTTCATATATTTATATATATTATAAATTATATATATGTATATATGAAAAATATGTCAAAAATGCATGTGGGTACTCAAATGAAAGCTCTTGATATGTGTAACATTGGAATGAGCTTATATCTTTAAAAACGTCAATAATTAAGAAAGTACAGTGCAATTGAACATAATTAAGAAACGATCTTGTATCTTGTGAACTATTGATATTTTTAAAGATATAAGCTCATCCCAATGTAACACTCATTGAGACTTTTCATTTGAGTACCCACATCAATTTTTCATATATTT